GGGGGTGGTGCATTTTGCCAACACACAAAAAAGGCAAAGAAAGATTGTTTCCCAAGGTTTTCTTTTAGCTCCCAGTGTACTAACGGTATATTCATTAAAGCCAGCATTAGATTACAGAGGAGGAGAAGGACTAGCAGGCAACCATTTTATTTAGCCTTGGAGGACACAGTTTAATTCCCAGCTTGCTGCCTTTTGCAACTCACAATCTGTTATGAGACTCTACAAAACATTGGCTATACTTTCCATCTCCCAGAAAACCAGACTCTCTAAATAAATAAATCCACTACTGTCTGGTCAAATGCTCAGATGTGATGAAATTTCCTATTTTCAGTTGTCCCACTATTTCCATAAGACAAAGCAGGGACCAGGCATTGGATTAGACATAAGTTAAAAAAAATAATTATTGCCACTCATCAGCTCAGTCAGTTTGTTTGCAACTAGGGGTTGAGAGTAATTTATTTTTCCATTAGGGATTGGAACTTTAGTAATTCTGTGAATTATTCAGAATGAACCCAAAGTTCATTTTGGGAATCCTAGGTAAATCAAAACATTTCCATGTCTTTTTTTAATATCACCAAGCACTCAAGTCCTGACTATGTTAAAGGGTATTAAGCAAACATTGGGCAAAGCAGAGCACGAGCACAGACGTGCATGCCTCACCAGCACTATCCCACAGTGAATGCAAGTGAACTTCATTTCTTTCACTGAGCACTCTGATTGCCTGAGAGTACAGAGTGTGTATGCACACAACTATTAAAAAGATGACACACTCTAATGTTACACCTTCCATAGGCCCACGGCAACTCTTCTGTGCACTTATATTCTACATGTCTCAAAAATGATGGTAGCTTTTTTGTGAATACTTCCCTCTGTCAAGACAGAAACCAAGACATCTAGCTAAAACCATAGGAGGAAAAGGGCACTAATAGCAGATTGTAGAAAGCAATCTAACTGTAATCTGATTTTTGCTCTCAATAGCATGTATGCATATCTGTAGGTATAGACATTCATGGGGTTTAGGGTATTTTGCAGAAACATCCAGACATCTGGAGATACAGCAGTGCTGTATCTGCTCTTCTGTCACTAAACCCTGCAAAAGTTTTTGCAATCAGAGAGCAACAGCCAAGTTAGCTGATGATGTTGAGGAACATCTATCTTCTCATATCATAGTCATGACCACCCTTTGATAGAAAGCTGCAGGCTGTGCAGATCTAACATGCTTCTGGCAGAAGAGTACAAAACCATGCCCTTCAAACTCAAAAAGCAGAGTTAAACAGTAAACGGTATTCCAACAGCCACTGACTGTATTATGGTCAGGCAGTTAGTTAAAGTTAATCATGTAGGACTGATCAGTGAGTCTAGCTGGGATCTTCCTAC